TTTTTTTTTGGCTAGATTTCTATTTTCTTTCTCCTGTGCAAAAGTCAAGACTGAAATATTCCTATGAATAGATTAAATGTTACCCATGTCAATCGACTATCAAGCAGACACACAGCTAGACTCTTATGATATCTTAAAATCATTAGTAAACACCATTTACCCAACGTATAGCATACCCTACAGCACTCAGTTAGTTGCTCATATCCGATAGCTGAAACTTTGACCTACCTCAAGACCTCGGACCAGGGCGCATGTGGCGCTGCGTTGCCCGCAAAGCCAGAACGTCGTTGGCTGGCTGAGCGTGCGGCATGCATGCGGCACGGCTCCTCGAGTATGCAAGCCTGTGGCCCGAACTCGCGCAAAATTTCCTTCTTGGCCAACTCGGCGTCGAGGGCGTGCGGCTGGCCGGCGTCTCGTCTGCTGCGCGAACGGTACGTATCTGCAAGAGTGACAAAGGGGAGAAGTTTTATGTTAGTAGCAGTTGGCAGTTGTTGCTGGCTGTCGCTGCTTGCTTATAAAATGCGAAATTAGTCAAAGTGGCAGCAGATGAGAATGCCAAAAACTTGGCTGCTGCTGCGGTTGATTGCACAAGCTGCGAGTGCAGCAGACAGAGCTCAACTTGTCTTTGGTATTTCCCTTGTTAGCATTCATGATGGCTTGTCATCAACCACTTGACTCGGGTTTACCCGACAACGAAATAATAAATAAAACATTGCCAGCAATTCAACTAACGAATGAGCGCGCACGGCTGATTGTCAAACATTCCGGCCCACAACTTGGCTCGTATCTCTCTCTCTCTCTCTCTCTCCATCAGCCACAGCCTTGACCCCATTTGGCTGCAGCTAAGTGGACGTGCACGACGTCTCCGCAGCAGCACCGCCACCACCACCACCAGCCTCAAGCTATGCTGCCATTTGAGCCACTCCACCGCCAGTTTTGTCACACTTTAGAGTCTGGTTTTTAAGCGAGGTAAACTCACTAGCTCATGCTTAGAGTATGAGCTTAGCCAGCTGATAGTTTGGTATTTGTCAACAAATGTTGTAAGAGACTCTTTCTCTCTTTGCAGATTTTAGTAGTTCATGATTTTATATGGGACTAACGGAACCTGAGAATTAGATAGAAGAGCTGGAATATACCTTATTAGCTCGAATTGGAAGGAAATTTTTTGGAGCGTAATCAACTTGTGGCTCGTATGCAACGTTAGGATCTGTAACAAAAACTCGTGTAGACTCTTTAAGCTTCTAGAATATGTCCTAATTCTATTTTTCATGAAGACTCTCCATTGTGATGGTTAGAGGTTCCTTCAAAGTTGAGACTAATATTTGATTTAATTTAAATATAAAAACAATTCAATGTATAAGTAGATTGAGTTGATATAAAAATAAAAAAACAGAATTTAGGATTTTCTTAAAATATATAATATTTTCAAAGAAAAAGAAATTTTTGTTATATATTATTTAAAAATAAATT